CCTGCTTCTCATCAGTCAATAATGTTTTTAGCATGCATTAATGATTCTTTTCTGAATCAGTTATTATTACCATGATTTGATTATTATTGCTATGATAGTTGCTAAATGCTGATTTCCTAATTCTATTATTTCTTACTATATTTATTACTTTTTTCTAAATGTCTTAGTTGCAATTCTACTATAATAAAAGCTTTCCCTTCTATATTTATGCATTTATTCTTGGATTTATATTAGTACAAATTTATGGATTCTTGTTTTATTCAGTGGGTCATAATTTTGATGCTCAGCCCACACAGGTTTGGCCTTTAAGGGACCTTTGTGTGCTTTGACATGCCCCATCGGCCTTTTTTTTTTTTACTGGCACAATGTTTCAGACGCATCTTGTACATTCTTAGAACTAGTCCTATAGTCAACTACTTCTCCAAGGAACCTAGGTTCTTTCAGTGGAAAATAGAATTTAGAAGTCAAAATCTGGATGCTAGATATGGTTATTACTACTGGGTTTTCACTGTTTTAGGCCCTTTGTATTCTTTCTTTCTATCTATCATCTATCTATCTATCTATCTATCTATCTATCTATCTATCTATCTATCTATCATCTATCATCTATCATCTATCTATCATCTCCAGACTGACCCTCCAGTTCTAATCCCACACCACAGGATTCCTTCTAGCCATCCCTGTAGTTTTATAACTCCTTTCTCTTACAGTGAGAAAATTGGCTCCTATTATCTACAATATATATATTTGTTTCCTCAGTCCCAGAACACCCAGAAAATAGTTTCTGAATTACTAGACCATGTTACTATGAAAAATAAATCTACCAATTAGAATTTAGTATTTGTTTACAGTGTTTCTTCTTTAGCGTAAGGGTATACATATACTCAAAAGTCAGTGTTCAAAATTTACTTGGATTATGTTACTAATTTGAAATACAGTTAGGTTCATTTGCTTCAGTTTGTATTCCATTTTAGGGGTTTTCTCTATATCTTTATTTTTTTGAGTGTGTGCAATCTACTTTGAATAGTGATAAATTTTAAAGGTGCATACTTAGATGTGTCACTCCTCATGCTTTCTTTTCCTTCCCCACCCATCTCTTTTTATCCTGTTGCCACCCACTCCCTATGGGTAACCACTTGGATCAGTTTCTAGATTATCCTTGCTGTGTTTCTTTTTGCACACATGGACAGATACGTGTATTTCTTATTTCTCCCAATCTCTTTCATAAGAATAGCATACCTCATATTCTCGTACACACTTTGCTTTTTCACTTAACATGTCCTGCATGTCACTCCGTATCAGCTGATAGAGATCTTCATGCCTTTTACCTTCGCCTAGTCTTCCATGCACAGACTTGCCATAGTTAATCCAATCACCTTCCTATGTGTGTTCCGTTAGGTTTTCAGTATTTTTCAATTGCAATTATGCAATTAATACCTTATGCATGTATGTTCTTAGTTGTTGGAATTGTATATTTAGGATAGATTTCTAGACTGGGATTGCTGAGTCAATAGGTAAATTTGTTAGATATTGCCAAATTTCCCTCAAAAAGTGTACCAATTTGCATTCTTACCACCAATGTCTGAGAGCGCCTGCTTCAACACTCTCACCAGCAAAAAGCGTTATCCCACTTTTTCTTGCCAATGTCATAGGTAAGAAATGGATTCTCAGTGTAGTGTTAATTTGCATGTCTATTATTATAAATGAGGGTGACTGTCTTTTCAAATGTGTATTTTTGTGTATGTGAATTGTCTATTCATGTCTTTTGTCCACTTTTCTTTCAAGGTTTTGATCTTTCTCCCTTCGGTTATTAAGAGTTCTTAGCTCTTTATCTGTGACATATACTACAAATATTTTCTCCCACTTTGTCATTTGTCTGTTATTATTTTTTGTGTGTGGTGTTTTGTATCATGAAAATATGGTATTTTGTGGGTTTTTTTTTAATTGAGCCAAAGTTATCAACTTTATTTTGTATTGCTCCTGGACAGTTGTAAGCCTTCCCTACACTCAGGTTATACAGGAATTCACCCTGTTTTCTTCTAACACGTATATGGTTTCATATGCTTCCATTTCTGTTTCTGACCAGTTTGGAGTTTGTCTTATGATTGGTATGGGGTAAATATATCATTGTTAACTTTTAAAAATACCGATGCAATTGTACTAGCACCTTTTATTGAAAAGTCCTCGTCCTTTATGTAAAAATCCTTTTCCTAGTCTTTTGATGTGCAGCCTTGTGGTACATATGCAGAATTTCCATATGCACTTGGATCTATTTCTGGACTTTCTATTCCTTCCAGGTTCAGCTATTCATGGGCCAGTTCTGCGCTGTGCTAATTACGCAGACTTCATAGAATGTTAGTATCGGATAGGACTCAGGCCCCTCATGGCTTTCCTTTTACAGTTTTATCAATAACCGTTCTTGAATGTTTATTTTTCCATATAAACTATGGTATCAGGTTTTCTAGCTCCATAAAAACTTGTTGTTTTCTCTCCTGAGATTACATATAAATTTATAAATTAACCTGAAGAGAGTTGGCATTTTTTAAAGGTTGAGTTGTTCTATCCCAGAACAAGGGCTGTCTTTCATTTGTTCAAGAATAGACTACTGTCTTTCAACAGTGTTTAAATTTTTTCTTCCTAAAAATTTTGCACATTTATTGTTAAGTTTATCTTTAAGTGTTTTGTCTTCTTTGTTGCCATTGAAAGTGAGGTTTTATCTAGGGTTATAGCCTCTGAATGGTTATTATTTGTGTATATGAAGTTATATGTTAATTTATATTCTATTAGGCTTATTCTTTTATTGTTTGAGATAATTTTATCATGGATTCCCTAAGTATACTATTATATTATCTATAAATATAGGTGTTTTACTTTGGTCTAAATGTGGTTTCTTTTTTATAAATGCATTGGATGATACCTCCAAGGTAATATATACACACATACACAGATGTACATATATATTATACATATATAATTTATGTGTTATATATTTTTAAGTCTGTTTTTTAGATTCATTGTTTCCTATTTTCTTCATTGTTGTTTTTTAAAATCAGGAATGGGTGTCGGATTATGTCAAAAACTTTTCAGCATCTGTTGAGATAATCGTATGATTTTTCTTCCTCGGTTGATCAATAGCATACCTTATATTAATGGGTTTCCTTATATTGAGCAGACTTGCACCTCTACAATGCATCTCACTTGGTCATGCTGTATTATTTTCTGAGTGTGTAACCACTAATCTTAAATCTATAAAGACCAAGGTTCTGTAGCAGTGTCATTCAAAGAATGATATCTGCTAGAGCAATTGAATAAGTTTCTACTAAATCAGAACTCTGGGGAGGGTCCCAGGACCTGATTTAATCGGGTCCCCCAGAGGTGGTCTTGATGCACAGTGAGAAGCACTGGTCTACTATATTGCTCAGAGTTACTGCAAAAAAAAATGTTTATTTTATCACAGCATTTTTTCCATGGTTCTTTTAAAAAGCCACTTTACGTCTTAGAATGTTAGATCCTAGATCGTGAGCCAATGGCAGGAAAGCAGATGATACGGAGAACCCAAAAGCTGGAGTACTAGCTGCCGCCTGTTTACCTGTTCTTCTAGTCACTTGCTTACTCAGCTTTTTTTGAGCACTGTGCAAGGATTTGAGGATACAAAGACCTCCGCAGCAGTAAATGAGATGGAGGATTAAATGCTTGTAAAAGAATATATCAAGCATGATATTAGAAATATTTTCCAGGAATTATAGGCATGAAGGGCTTCAAAGAGGAAATGCTCCTCTCTGGTTCAAAGAGAAGGCCGTGCTTCATACAGAACATCGTTCCAACATAACGTCAGCAAATGGAGAAAAACTGTATTTGCAAAAATCTCCCTTATGTGAAACTTTTTAAAAAGCATCTCCTACACATGAGGCACCACTACACCAGCTCATCAACTCCTGGCAAACTCTGCCGTACCATCACCCATATATGTAAGGGAAGCATTTTCTGTAAGTGGGGGAATCTGTGTATAACCTGGGATGAATTTCTTTCCCAGAAACCCATGTTTAATAGGAGAATATTAGCAGTGAAATGGAAAACAGTAGTAATATGTGGAAACCTCAGTAAGTGGAACATAAACTCCATTGGTTATATTAAAGTGCTTCAGATTCTTGAAAAGGGAAAAAGATTGACATTCTCTTTCTGTTAGAATTGTGATGGTTTGGTTCCACTTTATTTATTCTGCTATCAGGCTTTGCTTATCCAAAGACAGCTGCTCTATGGGAGAATGGCCGTAGAGTCTTGTGACTGCCACTCATGTTGGGGTGGTGATTATGGGGTGGCCTGGTATGGAATGCATTTCTTATCACAGAGTGGCCCTCACATGATGAGAGGGCAACATATGAAAGCTTAACCCTGGCTCTGCTTGCTCTGAAGAAAATTCTCCAAAGTCAAATGTGGTCAGAATTCCTTTATTCCCGATTTTAATACCTTCGGAGGAGGGGTGTCATTTAATTGTCAGCATTTTTATTTGCCCAACGTCTATAAAATTTAACTGCTCCTTTGTGCTGAATATGCTACAGACGATGCCTCCATCAGGTAGTCTGGGCACACATCTTGCATCTGATTTAAACCACAGCAGGTGTCACCCAAGATAGATGCAAATGTCACACCGAGGCCTTGGGTTATCTACTCAGGCTCGGCTTTAATGATCACACTTCAGTGGTTACTCACCCAATCATTAAAATAAAAGGTTTACATTTAAATATATTTTTGGACTGTTTCAGCAAAGGGAAGACATTGAAAGCACTTGAATATGAATTTTTAGATGTATATGCAACCGATCAACAGTATAAAATTCTTCAGATGGCAAACATAGATCCTGAGCAGATTCTGAAACTACACACACAATACTACCTTTTCTTAACAATCAATTTAAGTTGTATATTTGTTTTGATAAAATTTAATGTGCCTTTAGTGAGCTTGGTTATATTAATTTTAGTCATTTCTTTTTAAACTTACAGTTGGCAATCAGTGGATAAATTACATATCATTCTGTGGTCTTAGAACACACGCAGAGCTTGAAGGAAACCTAGTCACTGAGCTCATCTACGTCCACAGCAAGTTGCTCATTGCTGACGACAACACCGTTATTATTGGTAAGTAGATGGTCTCTAGTTGTGTTTCTTGCTCGTTGACTTAAATCTTGCAAAAATCTTTGTTTCTGCGAAGTGTCCTTTGCAATTGAGAGGGACAGTGACATACTATCTAAAACATTTCTGAAGCGGTCGTTTTTGCTTACAAACTCTCTAATCCCTGATTTTATCTGTGAAGAAACACAGGCACAGAGCAATTAATGGCCATTGTGCAAATTACAGTATCCAAGGCAGCAGTTTGACCCAGCAGTGCAATAACCGGCCTGCTCTCTTTAATTCTTAAGTATTCCCTATTTTTATTGAACCCAAGTAGCTACATTTTGGGAACTGGAGGGGGAAAATGTATCACAAGTGAGTACCTGGTGGTAATTTGTATGTGTTTGCACTGTACCCACCAAACCATTTTCACAGCTCTGAAGTTGTGCAAGAGTCAGAATCAGACGGGTATTGAAATATCGTCACCTCTGTGCTTTCAAGTCTTTTTCCTAGAATCTATGTTTTGGGTGTCATTAAACAGGGTACAGGGTAGACCAGCGTTGGTGGTGTGAATATGGTTAGAGGAAATTGTGAAGTAATGATATGATGTAGCCCTAAACTAAGGTCTGCAGTCTTTTCTTGTCAAGAATACACAATAGCCCTGGCCGGTTTGCTAAGTGGTTAGAGCGTCGGCCTGTGGTCTAGAGAGACCCAGGTTTGGTTCCTGCTAAGGGCACGTACCTTGGTTGCGGTTTGTCCCCTGCCCTGGTTGGGTTGTGCAGGTGGCAACCACTCGATGTGTCCCTTTCACATCGATGTTTCTCTCTCTCTCTCTCACTCTCTCTCTCTTCCTCCCTCTCTCCCTCCCTCCCGCTCTATCTGAACAAAAAACGTCCTTGGGTAAAGATTAAAAAAAAAAAAGAATACACAATAGATTTCTCCAGAGTCCTCTCCCAACCAATAGATTCTAGAGACATTATTGGTTGTACATTCTACCCACATTAGATCAATTTGACCAGAGGGATGGGTATTCAGCTTCATTGTTTTATACACATGGAAAGCTTTATTTTACCATCATTGAATTGTTTTGCTTTCTAATATTATGTTACACATACACTGAACGGCCAGGATGAGAAACAATATTATCAGCCAGATCAATGAGTTGACAAGGATGCGGGGTATATTACCTAGAGATACAATGTGTCCCACTATTGGGGATTCTGCTCATCTGTTTTAAATGAAATGTAGTTTTTCAGCTATCATAAGATACTCCCCTGTTCTTTAAGAAACTAAATGTCATGGAGTTTTTGAAATGTTCTGGCAATAAACGTGTTTATCCTCCACTGAGAAAAGGGGAAAAAAAAATCTCATATCTAGGAGTAATGAGACTGTCTTATCCAGAACATGATTGGAAAAGGAAAAAAAAAAAGTAGTTCTGAAGCCAGAAAATGTATAGATTACAGTGTGGTCACACACACACACGCACACACGCACACACGCACACATACTCACTTTTAATACATATAAAGAACATTTAAGGAAAATGTCTTGTGTCTCTGATCCCTTGCTCGATAGGGATCAGAGCACTTTAGGGAGTTATTTACTTCCTTATTTTTCTCATAACAGGGTTTTTCTTATTTCCCCCAAGCTACTCTGGCCTTGCTCTTCAGAATATATTTATATTAAATTTTGCAATGACCGAAGGAAGGGGAAATATTGATGTTTGCTGAAATGGAAAAACAAACAAAGTGAAATAAAATTCACTCTTTAGAAAGATTTCAGACCTCTGGAAGTAAAAATTGACAGATGTAAATATTTTAGCTTTAAAGGTCATTTTGACTTTCAACCTGCTTTATTTTACATAAAGTATAAATGTGAAGTAGTTTTCACAGAGCCATCAGTTAAATAAGTTTGTTGAGTTTTTTAATTGACTTATTTTCTAGAAAGCTCTCTGAACCCTCAAAAGCTACAATTCGTTCAAGCTAGCAATAATAGATCGATTTTACCCATAATTCTTATCCACTCTGTTGACACTGAAGATGTGTCACTACAAAGATAATAAAAAGATAAACCACAAGGCTATCCTTTAAGTAGAATTGAAGTCTATCCTGTTGACTAAGTGAAACAATGTTTTTAATGTTCACTTCTCCACTGCAACGCACAGTAGGGAGATGTAATACAGGAATCAGACATTTCCACTGCCCTGCAGACCTCCTGGGCTGGAGGGGCAGCGGGTGTTCTTTCCAGCCGACACCAGAAACATCCACGTGGATATTGCAGAAGTGGGGCAGGAAGGTTCCGAAGCGATCGGTGAGGGTGGGTAGGTGAGAAACTCCACAGGCTCGAGTGGCTGATGGGTTTTGTAGGTGAAGAGCTGCTCCAGTAGGGAGGGATTTCACTTCATCTAGTGTCCTGGGTCTCAACCCTAGCTGCACTGGAGTGCCTGGGGAGATTAAAAAACATATCATTCAGGGGAAAGTTTATTCATGTTCACATTTACCTTAAACTAGGTAAAAAAAAAAAAATGGATAGATTAATGGATGGATGAAGGGATGGGGTGGTATTGGAAAATGCTAATGTCTGGTTTCTACTTGCAGACATTGTGACTAGTTGTGGGTCTGGGGCCCAGACATCGGCTGTTTGTGTTTCTGTTTCTGGCACCAGTATTTTTTAAAAGCTTCCTGGGTGATGCCCATGTGCTGTCCAAGCTGAGAGCTTCTGAACTGGAGGCACAGGAAACACAAGTGGGAAGTACAGATGGCTGACGTGGGCTCAACAGAAGAGTCGGTTTTCCTTTAATCAGCTGAAACTGGGTGCAGCTGGTGTAGTTCGTGTCCACTGCTGCTGTAACACGTGGCCACAAACGAAGTGGCTTAAAGCCGTACACGTTTATTGTTCTGTAGGTGGGAGTCCAGCGTGGGTCTCGCTGGGCTAACATCAGGGCGTCGCAGGGCTGTCTTCCTTTGTGGAGGCTCTAAGGGGTTATTCATTTCCTTGTCTTGTCCAGCTTCTAGAGGCTGCCCACCTGTGTGACTGCTTTCTCCATCTTTAAAGGCAGCAATGTTATCTCTCTCTGGAAAGTTCCCCAACGTTGCAACCCATTGTGCTGCCATCTCCCTCTGAGTCCCCTTTACTGTAAGGACCCTGTGATTTTATTGGGCTCGTCCAGAGAATCCAGGATAGTTTCCCTGTTTTAGGGTCAGTGAATTAACAACCTTAATTCCATGTGCAGCCTTAGTTCCCCTTTGCCATGTAGCACGACACTTCCACAGGCTTTGGGGATCAGGACCTGGTCATCTCGGCCATTATTCTCCTGCCACAGGAGGATTCACAATTTCTGAAACAAGATGAGAAAAAAAGCACAAAGAAAAGATAGATAAGTCCAACTGCATTAAAATTTAGAAACTGTATTCATTGAAAGACACTACAAAGAGGATAAAAAGATAAACCACAAACTGAAAATAGCTGTTTGCGACACACTTAGTATTCAAAACATATATAGAACTCCAATAAATCAGTAAGAAAAGACAACATCCAAAGAAAAATGGGCAAAGGAACTGTATTAGAACATCACCAAAGACATGTCCGAGACCCATAAATATATGAAAGATATTCATCCTCATTAATATAACAATGATACAAAGAACAGTTTTTTAAAACACCAATTAGCATAATTTAAAAAGTCTCATAATCCAAGTTTTGGCAAGGCCATGGAGCAGCAGGTCTCCAGTCCTGCAGACAGAGCCCAGGCAAACTCTCGTGTGTGTACACCAGGAAACACACACACTGTATAGATCATGATTGTGCATCACAGCAAAACTTCAGAAACAGGCCAAACATCCATCAGTAGTAGAATGAATAAGTCCTCGTGTGTTCATTCAATGCAAATAATGATTGCAGTTATGCACAGATAAATCCCAAAGACATACTATTGAGTGAAAGATGCAAATCTCAAAAGATTGTGTAGGTTTCCCTTTACGTGAACTAAAAACATGCAGAGCATAATGAACACCAAATTCTCAACAAAGTCTCCCTCTTGGGACAGGAAGGGCTTCTGGGACATTGTCACATCCTGTTCTTCAGCCTGGGTGTTAAATTCAGTCATGATTCAGTATTCCTAAGTTGTATATATATGTTTTCATATACTCTTTTGTGTTTTGCTACATTTTACGCTGTTTTAAAGTGTTCCCTTATATTACCTGACTTAGGAAATGTCATTTTCTAAAAATTAAGTGGTTTTATATTTTCAAGGCAATGTCCTAAACAAGAGATTGTAGTTACCTTTAAAGGTACTGCATGGATACAAAGCATATTTGTTGTAAACAATTCAAATTCTAAGGACTTGTATAGAGTGAAGGTCAGAATTGTCCTTACTGTCCTCCTGTCTTTGCCAGAAGGCCACCCCCTTCTTAGCTTTCTGGAGCCTAGTGCTCTTCTCTTCCATGTTATGTAGGATTGGAATAATGCTCTGTCTGCTGCTCTGAATTTGGTTTTCAGAGTACGGTAACATTTAACAAGGATAGAGGTAGCATTTGTATTAATATCTCATTTTTAGTATCTCATTTATTAAATTTATCTAAAATTTTCTCAGCCCTTTCTTCACATTCCTATTAAATAGTAGCCGACACTTAGTGTGGTTGAGTCAGCGCCCTAAGTTCAGATTAGCCCTTGAAATATAAGAACCACTCTTCGTTCTAAGAATTCCAGCTCAGAATGCCAGGAATGTATTTCTCCCTTGGGGAGTAGGGCCCACGTTGGTGGGAGGGAGCCTGGGGGGCTGGTGTGAAAGTGTGTGTGTTTGTGTAAGAATGGAGGAGGCTTCCCATCCCGTTTTCCTGACTGTGGCGAGCAGCGATGACCACCCAGTCGGGCGGCCCGAGAGCGGCCTCTGCTGGAGAACTGGGGTAGTGAAGTCCAAAGCAGCACCGCGGCGACTTGGTTCCTCTCTGTTAACAGTTCACACACCAGGGTGAGGAGTGATTAACCCAGAGACCAGGCTTCTCAGATACAAATGCTACTTGCCAGCAAATTGTCTTTTTCTATGGCAGTATTCTCTGATGCAGAAATTAGAGTATTAACAGGTGTTTAATGATAATGCCAATAATAATTTGTAGAGCAGCTTTCACACGATCTTAATTCTTCCAACCATGCTACGAGGTCCATATTATGATCTCAGTTTATAAAAAGCAAATTAATGCTGAGAACTATGAAATGGCTTTGCCCACCTTAATGCTGGGCCAACTGTCCAGCCCAAAGATATGGCTGCAACGTTTCTAGTGTAATCAAAAAGGGTATGTATAAAGGACCATTGGTAGCTAACAAAGTGTTTAGAAACTCGCCACCTTGCAGCATTGCAGTAGTACTCCCAGATGTCTGTGAGGTGCTTCATTCTTTCTCTGTCACCAGGGTCACTATGGGGCACCGTTCACATCCATAGCTATCATAGATTTGTGTATTAACCGGATGACAGTTTTGTGGCAAATGGCAGTAAAGTCTCTTCAAGATGGGTCAGCTTTTTCTTATGTACAACAGCCCTCCATTTGGGTTTGGGACAGGGCTGCTGTCACCTTACATCCTAACTGCCCCATTGCAAGGAGGCAGTCAGTGCTCCTGTTCAACTGGACCCGCCTGCTCTGCATCTGCAGAGGCAGCGGAATATGTGACTAGGGCAAGAGGAGCGAGATGAGAAAAGAATCGGCCAGGCCCCTTCTGTAGTCTGTAGGACGCCTCAAGGATTCGAGAGAATGAATCGCAGTGATTAATGCAGAAAATGTGACGGGGCTTCTGAAGACAAGGCTGCGGAACGCAGGAAGCGCAGGTTGAACTAACATTAAAATACTTGCCCTTCACATGCGAGTCAACATTCTCAGCTCATTCGGATTTAAAAATAGAATGGAGGAAAGTTGATATAGAAGCTGTTGGCATGCCACACAAGTGAGGCAAAAGAAGGGAAAACTCAGAGCCACTACGGTGATCTGTATTTGAGAGGGGATTCTATTGATTGCGGAGGTGCTCTTGGGTTTTGATGCTCATAATTATGTGACCATAAGTTAAAGTCTACAGAGTCTAAGTATAAAACTGATGAAACTGAACTGGTAAGCATGTCTTTTTTTTTCTCTGTATGCTTAATGCTTATATCAGTTAGAATCTTTTGAGCCACAACATAGAAAATTCAGCTAGAAGTGAGTGTGAAACAATAAGGAAAATATATTGTTTCACAGACCAGAAGGTGAGAGGGCTCTAGCATTGGCTAGTTCAGTGACGTAACGACCCAGAGTCTGTCGTCTTTCTGCTCTGCCAGCTTCAGCGTGTCTGTCTCCTAGTGGTTACAAAATGGCTGCAGCAGCCCTTGGAATCACATCCTCATCCAACTGCTCAAGCCAGAAGAGCCAAAGGCTGAAAAAGGCAGCATTCTGTTCTTGTCTAAGTTTATAAAAAGGAAAAAAACAAACAAAATACTTTCTCAGAGGCCCCCAGCAGGCGTCCCTTCATGCCACACTACCTAGAATCATGTCAAGTGCCCATTCCTAAGTCAATCACTGGCAAAAGTAATGAATTCACAGCTGCTGGCTTGGACTGATCAAGATGTACCCCTGGGTTAGGGGAGGCCTGCTTCCTTAAAGCACAGCAGCTCTCCATAACCTGAACAAAATCAGGGTTTTGTTAGCAAGGTAGAATGGAGTGGGGAGGGCAGCTGGTAGTGTCCACATGCGGAGAAGACTGTTCAGTTTCACCATTTCTCCGTGTAGGCTCTGCCAACATAAATGACCGAAGCATGCTGGGAAAGCGTGACAGTGAAATGGCCGTCATTGTGCAGGACACCGGGACAGTCCCGTCGGTAATGGATGGAAAAGAGTACCAGGCGGGCGTGTTTGCGCACGGGCTCCGGCTCCAGTGCTTCAGGTGAGCCCTCCAAGGCCGGGTCTGCCCCGCTAGTCCCTGCCGTCCGCATGGGACCCAGCCGGGCCTCTCTTATCACCTCCAGGTTCTTCTTTCTCTGACAGCGTCTCCTGGAGCACAGGATGCGCACTACCAGTACCATGTGAAACGACATTATGGGTGGTGCAGACATTTCCTATTTTTATAGTTTTTATTATGTTTTTGTGTCATAGAGGAGACTGGCATTTTAAATCTATTAATGGATTTAGGACTAGGCCAGGTCAAACCATCTAGTATCTATTTAAATGTTTTATAGGGAGTTTATTTTTAGAAATTCAAGTAGTTCCCGTAAAACACAGATATAATAAAACCGATTAAAGTGAAGGCCGGAGACCACTGGTGTTACATTTCAGGGTGGAAACTGGGTTCTCGGTGAAGACGGCAGATGTGGGAAATTGCTGACCTTCCGCCGGAAGATGTGCGTTTTAAACAAATCTGGAGTCAGGCGGCGAGAACCCAGGATTCGGAAGCAAGGGCCCTGTGGCCTGCGATGAGTCCTTCATTTCACTGCTACCGAGAACTCACTCCAGGACTGGGCTCGAACTGGCCCCACCCCAGCCCCAGTAGTTTAGGTTCAGGGGCCAGTGAACCTAACTCCGCTATGGCTCCTTGTCTCCTGTCACTCTTCCCCTGCTCACGGAGACACGCTGAGCTCCCTGCAGTCTGCGGACACCCCAACCACGCTCCCACCTCTAGGCTTCTGCATAAAGTTCCAGCACTATGTTGGCCAGGACCGGATTTCACAGCGAGAGACAGCAGGTGTCCCTGTGCGAGGGCAGTGCCTCCAGCTGTTAGGGGAAAGGCACCGCAGACGCATACAGCGGCACTGTTGTAACCCTTCTGGTATTGATGGTGGCACTTGGAAACTGGTTCACTTACAGGTGGGCACAAAATGGGCACCTCCCTTTCTGCCAATGCTGGTGGCTGTTTCCCTCGTCCCTAACTCTGCTTCTGAAAAGGAACATCAGCTTCAGTTCCAGGGATGGTTCAGTCTGCTCTCCCTGCCCCAGGAGTTCAGCAAACCTTCCCTCAAAATTTGACTGTCAATACCTCCTCACAATTGTTATTGTATTCACTGCCTTTGTTACTAATTGTTTTGCCAGTACAATTTTTTTTTCAAACCATTGATGTTTCAATTAGCTTCTGATGTGTTCTGTTTAGCAGAGAGTTTAAAATTAGTACCCTGCTAATCAACCCATCGATTGCTTACTGCAGCATAGACAAGGAAATAAAGTATTTCTTGTGTAAACTAGAAATGTCTTATATTTTCAGTTCCATGAACTGAAGTCTTTTCTGTAAAGTAGTGGGCTTCTTTATAGCTCTCTAGATGTATAATTATAGCAGTAGGAAGTTCTGATTACAACATGTTTTCATTGTAGAAAATTTGGCAAACACAGAAAAGCATAAAAAAATAAAACTTTTTTGTAATCCCACCACCCAGTGCTAACAATTTTAACATTTGATGCATATCGTTCCACTTTTTTCCTATACATATATAGTTATACTTTTTCCTTTTATTTATAAAAAACATAGTTAGGATCTTGCAGTTCTACAAAGGGTCTTTATTATTTAAGTAACAATACACACACTTTTCCATGTCATTAAATATTCTGTAACATATGGTTATGTTGTATCGCATCCTCTGAGTGTGCCATCATTTCTTTAAGTAACACCTCATTGGTAGGCAGATTTTCTGCTGATATTTAAAAAATGGGTATATTTGCATCTTATTTATCCTCTTAATTGCTCCCTTAATTAAATCCTAACTGTGGAATTTCTGGTCAAAGGAAGTGCGCAGTGTTCTTTGCTCTCTCACTTCCTATTGGGTTACTAGCAATGTTACTCATTTCTCCTATCTTTTCTGAGTTCTACTAGTTTATTTAGTCTTTGCCAATTTGTTGAATTTCAAATGGAATTTTACTATTTTAATTTGCATTTTTTAGGGTCTCTAAAAGTGCATTCATTATGTAATTGTTCTTTTGTAGATTGTCTCACCTATTCATGTTCTTTGCCCAGTTCGAATGTTTTATTTTAATGATTTGTAAGTAATTATAAATACCTTATTTGTTGCAAGTCTGATTTTCAGTTGCCTTTTAATCATATTTAAAGTATTTAGGGGAAACTTCAATACTTATTAATCAAATTTATCAGTTTTTTTTTTTCTTTTTTCTTCCCCCTTTTCTTACATTTTTAGAATAGCTTTACCAGCCTGAGATTAAATATTTACTTATATTTTTTCTAGTACTTATTAGATACTACTTTTTACATTTAACATCTGCAATTTAGTTTAATGTAAGAAATGAGGTAGGAACTCTAACATTTTCCCCCAACCATCCAGCTGACCCGGAGCTGCCCCTGTGCCCATGCCTTGGCTCTACCGTGCAGTGCCCCGAGACACCCAGTGCTCACGTGTCCGACCTCGCCAGTCCCGCCGCTAGGTCTATCCAAGGTCTGATTACTTGCAGTTTGATACCATTTTAATTGTTGAAGCTGTGCATTTTAACACTACTTTTTGCCATACCACTTCCCCAAATTAGTATTCTTTTCCAGAATAATCTTGGCTACTCTTAAATATGCATTCCTACACGTGAACTTTTGAGTTATTTATTCAAGTTCTCTTATTAATTTTTTATTGGAATAACAGTGGATTTATAAATTAATATAAAAAATCGACATTTTTCTAATATTGAGTCATCCTATTTAAGAGTAAGGTATAGCCCGGGCTGGGTTGGCTCAGTGGTTAGAGCGACAGCCCACAGACCAGAGAGTCCCAGGTTCGGTTCCCGCTAAGGGCACGTGCCTTGGTTGCAGTTCGTCCCCGGCCCCCGTCAGGATCGTGTGGGTGGCAGCCACTCAATGTGTCTCTCTCACATCAATGTTTCTCTCTCTCTCTTCCTTCCTTCCTCCCTCCCACTTTATCTGAAGATAAATGTAAAAATGTCCTCGGGTGAGGATAAAAAAAAAAAAAAGAATAAGGTATAGCCTTCAATTTATTTTTTAAAAATTATTTTGTTCTTCAGTAAGCTTAAGAGTTTATTACTGGGGACAGGGGTTGTTCTTAAGTAGTCATTAGAAGTTTGTCTGTCTTTAATACCGATCCTATACACTTCATGCTAAGTTTATTCCTAGGCACTTTTGTTTTTCCTGGCAACTTTCAAACTGTCTTAAAGAGGCAGTTGTTCTTGAACAATCATTTTCATTTTGCCACAATGGCAAACTCAGATAATATATTACAAAGCACCACAGAGCCCTGGCCGGTTTGGTTCAGTGGTTAGAGCGTCAACCCGCAGACCAGAGAGTCCCGGGTTCGGTTCCCGCTAAGGGCACGTACCTCAGTTGCAGTTTGTCCCTGGCCCCGGTTGGGGTCGTGTGGGTGGCAGCCACTCGATGTGTCTCTCTCACATCGACATTTCTCTCTCTCTCTCTTCCTCCCTCTCCCCTTCTTGCTCTATCTGAAGATACATGCAAAAAAATGTCTTCGGGTGAGGATTTAAAAAAAAAAAGCACCACAGAAACCTTGTGTCAATTTTAGCACATTTTATTAGGAAATGTTCTCAAAGATAAATATCATGGCCTAGAGCACAGCCATTTTTTTCCTCTTAAAAATGCAACTGCAATCTATTTTTCATCTAGACTATTTTTGAATAAAAATAGGCACAGTATAATGTGAAATCAATTCTGAGTAGAATCAACCATCAGGGTGCTGCACCGACTTTGCAACTGTTCATTAGGTCCTCGAAAATTATCCACACTTTACAGATGTAACTGTCGCTCAGTAGAAACCGTTATCTACACAAGCAGAATCAGAGTCAGGTGATAGATGTGAGGAGTGGAAGGAACAGAAACAATTTTCTGCAGTTTTCTCCTGCCCCGCTGATGCAGAAACAGTTAAGCTAAGTAATCACCGTTATACTCATCAGCATAAAAGCGAACTCCTTTTCTCTGGAACCTTACTCCTCAAAAGAATACTCAGAGTGCTTCAGATCATTTTCACTGTGCGTTTCAATATAAGTTTCTTATCATTAAAAAACTGACAAGGAAAATTATATATTACTAGACATTGTCTGTTACAGACTTATTTAAATACTTTTTCTATTTACAAGCTCGTCACTGATACCTTGGTAGACACATTGCCTTACCTCTTGTTCTAATTTAAAAGCAAAGTCATGCCCTGGCTGGTTTGGCTCAGCGGTTAGAGCATCGGCCTGTGGACCAATGAGTCACAGGTTCGATTCCAGTCAAGGGCGCCCACCTTGGTTGTGGTTTGTCCCTGGCCCAGCTGGGGTTGTGCGGGAGTCAACCAATCGATCTCTCTCTCTCTCTCGCTCTCGCTCTCGCTCTCTCTCTCACTCTACCTGAAGATAAATAGAAAAAAATCCCCAGGTGCGGATAAAAGAAAAATGAAAATTAAAGTAAATAAATAAATAAAAGCAAAGTCACAGAAATATTCATTTTGCTCAGTTTTCAGCTGGTTAGACCTGACCCAAATCAAAGGTATTATTATAACTGACTTATTGTTATAACTTGTACAGTCCTTCAAATTAGGTGCAGTCAAATTTAGCTTTGGGTCTTAATGAGCAGCAGCATCCGCGTGCACACATCATCCCTGAAGACCTTTTAAGAAGTTATTCCTAGATCGTCTGAAGGAGACATGATTTGAAGTGGAATAGATTTTGAGGTTATGAAACTCTCAGATTGCTAGTGAGCCCATGGTGCCAGATCCACTTTTTAAAAGAATTTTCATATAGCACAAAAATTCAGACTAAAACTAAAATGAGCTGCTTTCTGATCCCTGTAAGACTGGCTGAGCCTTTTCAGGAGTCGATAACGTCAGAGGTGACGGGACATAACCATATGATGACCCCACACTGTTAGATCTAATCAGTGGTCGTTTCTCACTGGAATTTCACACTTCCTGTGGCTCTGGGTACCACACCCTCTGGCTTTTCTCCGGCCCGTGGCCTCTCCTCCTCTCCCCTGCTGTTGAGGTGCACAGGGCCCTCTTCTCTGTCCATACTCGCTCCTTTTGGTAAACCCAGTTAAAGTCGCATGGCTTCATGACTAAACCTATGTGAACAATTCTAAACTTTGTATCTCCAACCAAGCCTCTCCCAAACTCCAGATTCATTTTTCCAACTGCCTGCTTAACCTTGCCACTTGAATATTTAGTAGGTATTTCAACAGAATGAAAATTGAATTCCTAACCTTCCCCCACAAACTGGCTCTACCCACGGATTTCCCAGTCTCTGCGTCCGTCTAGTTGCTCAAGCCCGACCCTGCTAGTCATGCTTGATGCCTCCCTCTTCTCACACCCCACACCTACCTTATCGGTGAAACCTGTTGGCTCACCCTTGCTCTCCGCCACCCAGCCGCTGTCATTCCTCATCTATGTCACTGCAGTAATTCCCGACGGGTCTCCCCGTCCCAACCCTTGCCCTGCACAGTCTGCTCCCCATACGGCAACCATGTTCTAATGTGCAAGTCAGATCCTGTCACTCCTCTGCTCCAGTGTCTGCGACATGTCCCCACTGCACGCACCGTGAATGCCAAAGTCCTCCTGAGGCCTGTTTCCCCACTTCTGTCTCCCATGAAGCAAGCCTTTCTGATATTCTTTTAACCTACCGGGCATGTGAGCAAAGGGCTTTGGACTCGGTTTGAATTTTAGCTCTATTACGAGTGTGTCTCCTAACTACTTTCCTATCTGCAAAATGAGAATCATGTACCATCTACCTCACAAGGTTAAGGTGGAAGTACTTTTAACCCTAAAGCTTTCTATAAGTACAGTGTTGGTTTTTGTTTTGTTTTGTTTTTTATCATTTTCAAATATGACCTCTAAAACTTGTCTTACTTTGCTCGAAAATGTCTCCTGTCTAGCCCCGTGCTTATGTATGATCAATTCAGACGACGTCGAGTATGTGGTTTCTTTCACGCCAGGCGCTCGGGAGACGCGAGTAGCCAAGTCCTGTTCTCTCCAAGAGTTCATACGCTAGAAGTGGGAGAGGGGCGGAAAGACACTAAACCTGCATGAAGCGTCACAGGCGCTCTGATAAAAACAAAGCACACATGAATTATGGAGGGGAACAAAGGAAGAATGTTCAGACCTCCCAGGCTTGGTGGGGAGAGATGGGAGACTGGACAAGGGGAGTCATAAAAAGTTTTATAGAGCTGACTTTGTACTGAATTTAAAAAATGATGGGTAGGATTAGGTAAAGACAGGCAAAATCAAAGCCTCCCTAATGACGCCCATCTCATATTCTTTTTTATTAATTTATTTTTGTTACAGATGTTTCTCCTTTTTCCCTGAAGATACCCTCCTCCCTTTTCCTCCCCTCACCAAGCATTGTTGTCTGTATCCATATTCTTTTTTTTTTGGTCAATCCATTGATTTTTTTTTTTTTTTTTACATAGAGTGGAAGGGAGGGAAGGAGGGAGAGAGAGAGAGAGAGAGAGAGAGAGAGAGAGAGAGAGAGAGAGAGAAAGAAACATCAGTGTAAGGAGATACATAGATTGGTTACCTTCTGCATAACCTGCAACCCTTCAGTCTATGGGCCGATGGTCCAACCGCTGAACCAAACTGGTCAGGGCCCATCTCATACTCTTAAAGCATACCTGTATTAATCAAAATTTTAGTTAATTTCTTTGAGGGTGATTATTTATTCGTTTTTTATCTCACCCATCAAATTTAAGTCTACCCAGAGAGGCTCCATGTCATTGTATTCACTCTGTACCCTAGAGTTCAGCATAGTTCTTTGACCAAAGAAGGAAGAAGGAAAGGAAGGAAGGAAGGAAGGAAGGAAGGAAGGAAGGAAGGAAGGAAGGAAGGAAGGAAGGAAGGGAGGGAGGGAGGGAGGGAGGGAGGGAGGGAGGGAGGGAGGGAGGAAGGAGGGAGGGGGAGAAAGGGATGGATATAGAAGATCAAGTCATGGTTAAGAGCACAGGTTTGGGAATCAGATGGTCCCCAGTTGGGAATCTGGTTGGAGTCCCAGATCTGCAGCATACCAGCTCTGTGACCTTAAACAAGTTACTTAACCTCTCTGTACATTAGTTCCCTTATATAAAAAATGAAGATAACCTTTTTCATAAGGTTGCTGAGGATTTACTGAGACAGCTCTCGGAAAGGGTTTACTTAGCACATTTGCTGGTACTTGCTATGCATGTTAATCCTATTCTCCAAGGTTCTCCCCCCTGCTGGCCAAATTACAAGCATGCTCTTAGATAAAATTAAGACCTTTCTCTCTGTCCAACAGTTAACACTTTGGGGCTATGTCCAACATAGCCACTTAGGGGTTTTTGTTTTGTTTTGGAACTTGGGTTTTAGATATAAACACACACACACACACACACACACACACACACACACACACACACACAGTTTTAATGAAGTTACCACTAGAAACAATGCCTGTAGCAAACTGCTTTATCTTGGTTGCTTGATTTGGAGGACACTTGTATTTCAGGGTTGTCCTTGGCTATCTTTATGACCCAAGTGAGGACATTCAGGATCCAGTGAGTGACAAATTCTTCAAGGAGGTGTGGGTTTCGACGGCAGCTCGAAATGCTACAATTTACGACAAGGTAAGTCTCACAAATACACTCCTTTATTTACATGTAATTTTATCACAAAAACATATCATTATTTCTGCATATTATTGGTACAGAGTATTCTTAATGAATGTAGAAACCAATATACCTCCAATTTTTAATAAAATACCTCTTTGTAGACATTAGAAAACAAAAAGTCAAAAAGCATCATGGGTTATGGTTTAGAAGAGACTTGAGTGGCATTCCGATCTCTCATCTGATTGAGTAATCCATCACGAGCATCTTTAGTAGGTGGTTACCCAGCCTTTGGTACATTTCTGGCAAAGAGAAAAGAGGCAGATGGGAATAAAAAAAATGAGTCAGACCTGGGTTCAACCCAGCTCACCTAATTGCTGCTAAAGTATAACTTTGTATAGTGACTTGACATTCTGAACCTTCCATTCTTCTATAAATTAGGAGGACTATTCACTAGGGAAGTTATGAGGATAAAGAATAGTCTATTAAATGTATTTATCACATAGTACATAGTATGTGGTATCCATCCTTATAATGAAGCTTATTGATAATGAGAAACTTTCTTTTCTTTTAATCTTTTTCCACCCTCCCGACCAAGAAACTTTCTTAATTGTAAAATTCTAATTTTGGAAAGGTGTTCTAAAACCAGCCCCATTTCTTAGGGAGGCCAAATGCATTTTCTGGTAAGTTCTATCCATTGATTATGTATAAAAGTTAAGAGTTGTCAACAGTAGAACAGGTTACTTCACAAAGTAGCCAGCTTTCCATCATAGCAAATATTCAAGCTGAGATCCACTGACCATCTATCAGACTGGATAAGAATGTGTTCTTCTTCATGACTTGCCGAGTCCCTTCCAGCACAGAGATTTCATCATTCCTAGTGAAACATGACATCTAAACAGCCTCATTTCATACTGAGCTTAAGGCCATGATCAAATAGGTCATGTGCATGGAGTCTTTTAAAATGTAATTTTTAAAATACAGCCTTGTTTGGGTCTTGGATTGGGATGATAATAGCTGTGAAAGACATTTGGGGGATAATAGGATAAATCTGAATATGGATCATATCTTAAATGATGTGCAATTGATTTTCTGAGGTGTGAGAATGGTATTGTGATTATGTCACCATAGAGACATGTCCTTATTTTTAAGAATTGCAAGCTGAAGTATTCAGGAGAGAAGTGTTATGATGTCTGAAACTCATTTTTAATTAACAAAATAAGTATATATTTGGTAACTCTAAGTAAAGGTAAAGATAGGAACATTTTTCAAAATAAAATGTTAGAGAAAATAACTATGTAATTTTTCTCTTAATTCAGAACTTCCACTGAAACTAAGAATTTGTTATTATCCCCAAAATTAAAATCAGTGAAGTTCCTTATCATGAGCTTGACATTATCCTAGGGTTAATAATTTCTGTAGATCAGATATAAGAATCTACCTATAATTTTATTTTTGGGAGCAAGCAAATTTGTCAGTTTCTTTGTAGTAAATAAGAAAAGCAACTTTTCAGTCAGGTCTGTGCTGTAACATAAAACTAATATGTGTTTCACAAAGCAGATTTGTCTGTTGGAATAAGTATTTTCCAAAAATGGGACATGCTTTTTTTAAAATGTATCACTCCGTTTCCTCTTTGTGTTTTCATCAGGTATTCCGGTGCCTTCCCAGTGATGAAGTGCAAAATTTAATTCAGCTGAGAGAATTTATAACCAAGCCCATAATGGCAAAGGAAGATCGCGTCAGAGCTGAGGAAGAACTGAAAAAGATCCGTGGGTTCTTGGTGCAATTCCCCTTTAATTTCTTATCTGAAGAAAGCCTACTGCCTTCTGTTGGAACCAAAGAAGCCATGGTGCCCATGGAGGTTTGGACTTAGAGTTGTCAGCTCAAACACTTCTACAACAAAGAGTACACTGCACACAGTGGCTTTCTGGAGACATAACAGCCAAGAGCTCTTGTGTCCAACCCACGGACCCTGTGGGTTGGCTGGTGAGGGCTGTAGTCACACTGATGGAAGGACACGGAACAACATCAGGGCTTTGTCATTCCTTCTGCCTATCCTTGTGAGAAAGGGACTGCATTCTTATTGGTAGTATATACTCAACAACTTAAACACACACTCAAATTCCATGATGTGCACCAAAGCGCATTTCCTTTACGAACAAGAATTTACCTGTAATTGTGATCTAGGTTGCCAAAAGTTGTTTGACTTTCCTTATTCTTCTCTGACCTTCACGTATGCAGCTAGTGTCTGCTGGGCATGGTCCACACAGGCACTGTTGGAAATCTTGTTTATTGTCAGAAGATACCGTGATGCTGCTTCAAGGTTCTTCAAGGTTACGTGGAATGCCCTTGCCCATCGGATCCTGAAGTGGTACTGTTTACCCAAGCAAGGATGTGGTCATTATTGCTTTTCAGAGACTGACAGGACAGTAAAGACTTGAGTCTATACTGCAGCCCATGTTAGTTAGGCACTTCTGATGACATTGACACTGCGTAATATATATCTTGACACCACAGAGCAACAGGAAGGCATTAAATTCAGTTACTGAGGCAGAGATTTCACTTTGCCTCCAAAGGCCGTGACAGGATGTGTCCTGATGGGCCCACCTGATCAAATTTGAAAACATGCGTAGTACACTTGATTACGCAGCAGCCAATAAAACTCAAGACAGAGCATACAGCCTTCAGAAACCTCCAAGGTGTCTGTGGGGATCTGACCCAGATAAGAAAAGAAGATTCCTTGGAGTCCTGCAAAATTTCTTGTCATCCTTAGCGGCTTGATTGATTGAAATTTGAGTTTTTACACTTCAAAATCAAACCATTGAATGCAATTTGTCTTTCAAGAGAATCAGAGGTTTCAGAACTTGTACGAAATTAATAAGTATGACCCTGGCCTTACTTAACATTCAGCTTTCCAGCAGTGTTATCTTCTTAAGGAAAAATTGATTGCAAAATATGTGCTACTTCACTTGCATTATTAAATATACATTAACATTCCACCAGGGCTCCCGAGGAGGTTAGGATATTCATTAGTTCATACTGTTGTAGTCTGTGAATTGTTCTGGAAACTTTTTTTGTTTTGTTTCCTTTTTGGACATTAGAGTACTCTTTGGTACACCATAGCTCTAATTTTGCTAAGCAGAACTATTGTTATAGCTGAAGAGCTAATGTTGGCTCCCAAAAGGCCTATGTCCATAAAACATGCGGTAGATGCAATGCTTCCATGTCTGTGGATCACCTGGACAGAATCTCATTTGGGTTGTTCTTCAGAAAAGCAAGGATTCAACCCCTGTTTTCATGGGGCTCCCAGTCCAATAGAAAAGGTTAAAAAGGGGCACAAGGTCAGTGATCTGGGTTAGTAGGAGAGAGACAGTGTCATACTCAGGAAAGGATTTCACAACTAGAGAACTTTTCATAAATGAGGTGCAACTATGTAATACACAATGAAAATGAGGAGACTTTTATGAATAAATAACTTTTTTCTCAGCTAATCATTGTAACATGACTTCCTTCCCTAGTAGTTAGAAATAAGACAGTTGCTATTTATGAAGTGTAGACGGGCATTTCAAGTGCTGAGTGTATGTGGAATACCTAAGGATTTCTTATATTTAATTTTAAAACACTTTTTAAACTGGAGACTAGTCAACAAAATTGGCTCTTGATTTTGTGCAAGAGGCTCACATAAAACCATGAAAAATTACAGCCTAAGCTGGGGTGTGGTGGGGATCAGTGAAAGGGGGACAAAAGGAGAGAAAATGGGAGATATTTGTAATACTGCCAATAATTTAAAAAAATAATAATAATAAGAGCCTAAAAGGGCCCTTTCCCTTAAAAAAAAAAATTACTTAATTCAACCTCCCTCCATCGTCTAGGTGAGGAATCTGAGCCCTACAGTAGTTGAAGCTGGGACTAGTGACATTTCTATGGTCCACTGTTGGCTTCTCCTCTCACTTTATCACAGATGTCAGTCCATAGATCTCAGGCAGGATATTTCTAAGCTATTTTGAAACCCTGTGATAGTATATATTTAGGTGCTTGTCTGTCTCCCTCGAATAGAATGTAAGCCCCCTGGGGGAGGAACTTTCCTGTGTTTTGTTCAGTGTATCCCCAGAGCCTTGAACAGTGCCTGAAACATACAGGGTGCTTGATACATGCTTGTTGGGTGAATGAATGAGGTGGAGGAGAGAGCTAATGAAATGAAAAACTTACGTAGTCTCAGACAAGAAATCTTACTGCTGGTTTCTGGGGCAAGTTTTTTTTTCCCTACTGCATCTTCTCAAAGGCAAGATGCTCATCTGCAAAAATGAGAAGCTGCAAGATTTACTTGGATGGGTTTTATGGGAAATTCAGTGCAATAATTGCCTGTTTTGTAATAGCAGTTTACATAGTGCAGCATTCTACAAAAATTGCTTGGGATGTGAACATCAGATGGACTGTGTGGCCCAATTACCCTTCATCTCTGATACCATTACCACCTAATTTATCTTTAACAATTGCAACGTCTGATATAAACTTATATATACAAATGACCCAAAGCCTTGAAAAACTATTATGAATCAGTCCAACATTTCAAGTTGACTGTAATCTTTTGGAACACCTATAATGCTGTCCCTGACACTCTGATAATCTTTGTAAAAATTTTTGTTTTCAAGGAGGAAAATTCTATGAGTATAAGAAATGAAGGGTAAAAAGTGGTCATGGCCTGTTAAAGCTGTTCACATTGGCCCAGCTTAGTGGTTGGAGGATGCTCAACATAGCAGGTCTGGTCTGGTGCAGGCATTTGCTCTGTGTCAAGTATCCACTCGGTGACTCACCTTTCAGTGGGATGTTTTGAATTCTCAGGTTAATGCATCTCAGAGAGGGTGAGAAAGCTGGTCATCAAGTAATTGAGTGGCCTATTGTCAAACAAAATGTTGGTTTTATTTCCACCTTTGAAAGAAAATTTGTGTATAGCCAAAAATGAGCAGTTGATCTTTTCTGCATTAACTTGGAACACTGTAACATATTGTGAATTAACAGTCTTCCAGATGAAGACAGCAGGCCCAGAAACCTTTGCAGATGGAAGACGACAGGCAGAACAGACTCTGCCCACTGTGTGCATCATGAAGAACTGGGCTGCTTCCTGCATCTCCTCATTCCTCACTCCTTCGACCTCATCCCCACGACCAGTGGCCTCCTCACTATGGAAACCATTCTAGAGGATGAGAAAAAGTCTTCTGGAAAAAACAACATCAGGCCTCTACAATAAATCTTCAGTTTAACTTTTAAGTGACTGACCTAATGTTATTTTTCAACGAGGTAATCGGTTTTTTTAGCATCCGTGGTCTGCATGGCGCGTGGGCACGTTCAGATGCCCGCCGGCCGAGTAGCAGGGGAGAAGAGGACCCTCTGTGTCTGCTCCTCCCTCCACCCTCCTGTCTGAAGTGAGCAGACGCTGAAGGACATTGCGTGGTGCTTTGGAACACATTTTTATTTCCTTGGAAGTTCCTCTGAGGCCCATTATTACTGGCAGTTTGGAGGTTTATAATGGGTTTTACCAGGCACAGGCCTTGAGAAATTCTTGAATCTAGAAATTTACTAGAATCAGAATTTTTTCAGCCTCTATCAATAAGTTGCAGTGAAGAAACAATGGATTGGCATTATTTGGGGGGGAGGGACAGGTACCATAATATGATTCCTAATGGCATTTAACTTACATGTGAGATATTTCTGGCTTTGATTTGAGATCAGAAGGATTCATTAAAGGGACCAAAAATGTTGTGGCTTAAATTTCTTTTAGGTTATTTTATTTTATACCATTTTTGATGTTTAATTTTAAAAGAAAAGTAATCAAATATAAGATAAATGAACATTTGTCACATTAATAATTTTAAGTTTTAAAGTCAGAGACTGGATGCCCAGCCAGTGTGGCTCAGTGGATTTACCGTAGTCCATGGACTGAGAGGTCCTGGTTGGATTCCAGTCAGGGCACATGCCCGGGTTGCAGGCTCGATCCCCAGTAGGGGGCATGCAGGAGGCAGCCGATCCATGTTTCTCTCTCACATCAGTGTTTCTATCTCTCTCTAAAATCAATAAAAACATATTTAAAAAAATAAAAACAAAAAAATAAAGTAAAAAACTGGGTAGAAATCCAACCAAAATGCAGGCTTAGTCACTCTTTCCAGTTCCCGAGCAGCTACCGTCGTTCACTTTCTCTACATAAGTACACCTAAGAGAACTCCATCCTGTTCAGTTTGACACTAGGAAATATACCACCACACCCTCCTAAGGCATATTCCACTTGGATTCTTCACATGAAATGATCTGGGCCAAAGATACTGATATTCTCCTTAACTATCTGAAAATTCATGCCAAAGTATTGTAGCTGGAACATGTCTCTCTGACCCAAAGACTAAATACTTGGTGATAAACATCCATTCACTATACTCAGATATTCTGGACAGAACTTGAACTCCTAGCCTCACCACTACAGTAGGGTTTGGCCAACTTAAGCTGGGCTTCCTGTTTTTGTAGATAACATTTTATTTTAACATAGCCATGCCCACTCCTGGACAAGCCTGTGTGATCAAATGATCCACAAATCCTCTCCCTAGACGGAGGATCAGGAAGCTTTTCATAGAGATGGTAAGAGAGAGCAAAGAATGTCTAGACAGGGCACCTCACCGAAACAGATTTGGGTAAGTTTTGTTGTTATTTTTCCTTTATTGATTTTAGAGAGAGAGGAAGTGAGAGGGAGAGAGAGATAGAAACATCGATGAGAGAGAACATCAATTGGCCGCCTCCCGCATGTCCCCCACTGGGGATTTGGCCCACAACCTGGGCATGTGCCCTGACCGGGAATCGAACCGGAGACCTCTTGGTGCATGGGGCGATGCTCAACCCCTGAGCCACATTGGCTGGACTTGGGTGAGTTTTAATCTTGTCCATAAACAAGGTTTTCAAGTCTCCCTGTCCCAGAGCCCAACATTCTACAGCAGGTTTATTCTAAGAACAGGACGGAGCTCCTCCAGGAATGACAGTCCCGGTGGTTTGGTTCTGGGACAGAGCCGTTGCCCGCGCAGGCGGCTTCTCGCAGCAAGCCGGTTGGTGGTGCTTCTAACGCAAGTGTTACGTAAAGGAGGTGGCTAGGCCGGAGAGTTTGCATTCAGTGAGAACTGTGAGCTCAAGGCACGCAGTTTCCCTCAACTTTTCTTCTGTGAAGCATTGGGAATGATAAATGTATCTATTCTCTGCTTCCCAATCAATATTTTCTATGCCTGGTCCCTTAACTACATTTTTTTTAGATGTAAATATTCATGAATCAAGAGTGTGAAATCATCAGTGGAATATGAGGAAAGGAGACATTTTGTACTGAAATGCTCATTCCCATGTAGACCTTGCCATTTTCTAAAAAACATTATTAGTTGCATATTAATAATGATTACTGAAAGTATTATGTGTTCAGATACACTTGAGAAACATTATGTTAGAAAAGACTGCATCTTTCCTATGTGAAGATATAAGGGGAACCTCCAAGACTGAGGATATACTATGTTATACCAAGAGTTCTATCCCATAAACACATTGTTTATTAAATAATAGGACAGCCCTGGCCAGTTTGGCTCAGTGGTTAGAATGTCGGCCCACGGACCAGTGAGTCCCGGGTTCGGTTCCCGCTAAGGGCACGTAGCTCGGTTGCAGTTTGTCCCCGGCCCTGGTTGGGGTCGTGTGGGTGGCAGCCAGTTGATGTGTCTCTCTTACATCAATATTTTGCTCTCTTCCCCCCCCCCCCACTCTGTCTGAAGATACATGTAAAAAAAAGTCCTCGGGTGAGGTTAAAAAAAAAAATACTAGGACAGTAAGGCAAGATGCAGACTGTCATTTTTGATAACTGTGACCCATCTTTCTGTATGCAGCCCAATTTCATATCAGTACTGAGACTTCAATTTAGAGGCAATAAATTGAACTAATATTAGACTAGTTCAGTTCTTTCCAAATTTCTCAAACGCCCTTTTGTTTGAAAATGTGTCTATGGCCCAGAACAAGCCAACATGCAAGGTTTGAAACATTAAAAAAAGAAAAAGAAAAATGTGAAATCAACAGCGACCCTCTATTTGAAAACAAGATTCCTCCTGCTGCACGCTGTGTGTGAGCAGAGAAGCCGGTGTGCCCGTGGAGCCTTCCACACACGTGGAGGTTGACCTCAGGGTCACAGCGGCCCCTCCTGCTCTCGGTCCTCTCTCTCGGTGAGGCTGCAGATGCAGCTGGCTCCTTCTGAAAGACCAATGTGCCATTCGGTAGCACAGAATGAGCGCGGTCCAGTGGGGGAGCTGGGGTGCATCAGTGGACCCGTGAGACCAGTGCCCCTTCGTCACGGTGCTCACATTTTAGTAAGTGGAGAGTGCAAAGTTACTGCCATCCTCAAAATAGGCACAGTAACCTGTTGTCCCGACAATGCTGCTTGACAGCTTCAGAATTCAGTGGCTTTAAACAATGGTCACCTACTCTTGCTTGCACATCTGCTGGAGGTCAACTGACTGAGGCTGAGCACATGTCCAGACCTGCTTCACGTGTCTCTCCTCCGCCTCCTTGGGCCACAACATTGTCTTCTCAAGACAGGCAGCAGCACAGGAAGGCAACTGAACACAAGTGCCCCTTAGAGACGAAACTGGAACTGACACTCCTCACTCTGCCCACATTGCACTGGCCACAGTAAGGCCCATGTCCAAACCCCACATC